GCAACGGTCAAAACAACGGAAAAAATGAGATGCATGCTTCAAAATTTCAGAAAAAATATTTGCGAGAAAAATCATGAAGTAATAATCAGGAAAAAAGTCTTGACTGACTGGATTCCGTGATTGTTCTTTTTTCATTCGATACAACCTCATTGTTTATACTCTTCAACTTATTAGTCACACCATGTCGCTCAGAATTAAATTTCACATACAACAGCACAAGAATGGTTGTTGTATACATTAAGTCTCGCTTTGAAAAATATGATTTTCCGACATGCGTAGAAAAATGAGTAGGCTTTTGTATGAAGCTTTTTTCTCATGAACGGCAACATCAGAAACTTTGAAAAGTTCATAGAAGCAAAGAGCAACAAATTCTGTATCTATTGATGCCAACTGCATTGCTTTTCAAGTTGATCTTCATGAGTAAAGACTTACACAAATCGATCGGTATCTGCGGAAAATCGAAAATTGCAGTTGAACATTTCAGCAGACTTGCATATTTTTGATTTGGTTTCAGTAAGAAAAATTTGAAAAAGAAAACAAAATAGTTTTGTAGAGCGAACAATTTTCTATCGAATGTCTTTCTAAAAGTGTATCAAGATGACCCAAAAAAAGGAAAATAATGCTGTCCCATTCAATCTACGTCATCTATTATTTTGTATGATCACAATAGAAAAGAAAGATAAGTGTTAAAGAAGTAATTTGATTTGCATGTACTTTTCACTTGTATGAATAATAGCTCGAAAAAAAAATACTGAATAAAAATTAGATATAAGGCACAAAATCCAAAATCTTATCAGCGGTACATTGACAGATGAGCTTTTGACACATGAATCTTTACATATGAGCCTTCAATTTTTGAGTTTTCAGTATATAAAGTAGATCACAATAAATGATAAGTTATATATATACATAGTTCAGTATGACTTAGTTATTTGATATTTACGATGTAAAGAACTTATCTTAGGACTCGATCAAAATTTTAAAACTTAATAGTACATTAATTTGATTTTTGTTGAAAAGTGGAGACTAGAATCAGAAAATCCACTTAACATATCATACGCATTAATAGACGAATAATCATAACATTTAATTAGTATTTTTTACAAATAAATATGAGTGAATTGCAACTTTTTGGTACGATTGAGATCTTAGCTGCATTTGCCTAATAACTTATGTTCTTTGCAACCGATTTGCAATTTTTTTTAATATTATTTCTCTTTCAAACAGCTCCTTGTCACACAAAGTTTCAGTTAATACTATCGCTGATTTATGAGAGATACATTACAAGAAAGCGTAGTCATTTTTTTTGACATATGCAAAGAAAAATATTTAATTAGTGTATTTTGAAAAAGGTTTGACGTTCCATCAAAATATATAACTAATTTAAATTTCATTCCTTCGTTTGACAGACATTTGTATGTTATCATGTAAAGTGACACAAACTTAATTCAAATTCTACATGTGATAGAGCTGCAAGTACGCATGCGGAGTTTATGAAAAGAAAGAGAATTCTTTGAGTAACAAACTGATGAAAAAAATATCTCTCTTGTCAGTTTCATTACATAAAAAAGATAATTTCATTGTTAAGCATTCAGAAGAAATTTAAATTATGTTACAAAATGTAGACTGACGATTTTTAAGCAGATATCTTCAGTAAAATTCATTTGAGAATAATTTTTTCGGGTATAATTTAAATGAACAGGATACAACAAGCAAATTCAAGTTTATTGTGACTTTTCTAACTTCCTACCATTCATACAGTGCTGAAAAATGACTCGAATCTTTTTAATGAGTAAAGCCAATTTTATAATTGAATGAGGCAAAAATAAAACTATACAACGTGTAGTTCTCTTAATATTCAGCGAAGTGTTGGGAAAATTTTGCCCCTTAACACAGACGTAGAGTATAATAAAATATGTTAATCAGACATTGTTTAGGCCTACTTTCAGTTTTTCATATCAAGCATACCAAAAAGTTGCTATTCAATCATATATATATATATATAAAGTGGAGTGCACTTTTTACTTCGATGTTTTCTATGAAAGAAAAGTAGGTTAATGACATATTTTGTGTGCCATATAAAATTAGAGTCAAGATCTAGACAAAAATACCTGTTGTAGGCCTAATTAATTTTAGCGTGAAGAAAAAGCAGGAATTTCAATTTTTTCTAGCACGCGAAGCTTTAAGACATTTTTAGTATTTCAATAATTATATTGTTACTGAAAAACATATAATTTTTAAAAATATATCATTATATATATACAGAATTCAACGGGATACATTTTAGTATAAGAATTTTTGAAATATTATTGATTAATAAATAGAGAAATGTTTTGTTATATAAATTTTGCTCTTCAAATATTACATAAGAAAGAGCATTGAAAATTGAGTAACATTATGTATTTTTATTTTTGAAATAAATTCATTCTAACAGAAGTTTATTAAATACTAATTAAAATTTGATTAATACTTTATTAATAATTAAAGAGATTGAACTGTAAACGTAAACTTCCGTATTTTGAAAAATAGTGCATTTTGTAAAGCAGACTTTGTTGCATCAAATAAGATTTTGTATTCTTCTATCCAATGTGTTCCTCATCGGAAATTGCACTTATAAATTATAAAAGTATGAAGCAAGCGAAGCATAGATAAAAATCATCTTTGAAATTAGTGAACAAAGATAAAAGAGTTCCATAAGATGAGGAACCCATTGGACAGAAGAGTACAAAATCTCATTTGATACAACAAAGCCTACTCAACAAAATGCACTACTTTTTAAAATTCTGAAGCTTATTATATTTAGAGCTTAGTTTTGTTTATTATAAATAGAGTATTGATTAAACTTTAATCATTGTAAAAAAAAAAAAACTTTGTAAGAACGAATTATCACATAACAAAAATATACAATCTCATTCAGTTTTCAATGCTCTTTCTGGTGCAATATTTGAAGAACAAAATTTATATAACGAAATCTTTTTTTTGCGTTAATAATTATTAACATTAATTAATAATTTTTTAACAATTTTTAATACCAAAATACTAAAAATGTTTTGAACTTTTGCAGTACTCCTTTATGTACTAGAAAAACATTACCTCAAATAAGTAAAAGCATTTCTTTTTTAATTAAGCTTTTAAATATAAGAATTTCTTATGCTGATATTCTATTAAGACTCAAATATCAGAAGCTCGACTGTCAGAAGGCTCAACTATTATATCATACTTGTTAATATGTATCTTGCTCAATTGAAAATGAAGGAACATTTTCAATACTTGTATGATCGAATAAAATTATCAACAATTAAAAGAATCCTTTTTAGATCAATTTCTTTACTGAATCTCTGCTATATTATTGATGCCATCGTGTATTCAAATTTGTTATCTTTTTTTAAGTATTCATAATAAGAATGATGCAGTTATTTCAAGGCTTTCTCTCGAGCATATTCTAATCAATATATAGTGGTTATGATTTTTTTTTCTACTGCATTATAATGAATGTCAGAAGTGAAGAAAATCATTGGCACAAATCGTAGTGGCTCGACCCGGGGGATGTCGGAGGTGTAACACCGTCTCCAGTTGTAGAAAATTTTAATTTTTTTCCTAATAGAACTGAATTCTTCTTTTTGCATCTTGTTAGAAGAAAAATATTCTTACTTTGCAAAAAATCACAACGCTCTCTCAATGTTAACTGCTTCGAGTTATCACTATATACAAGTTAAATTTAGATTTGATGAATAAAATAATTACTGAAAAGCAACGAAGGTTATTTACATTTAAAGATATATTTATAAGATTTGTCAGTAAAAAAAATACGATGTAGTAATTCAAAAAGAAAAAGAAACACTATTATTCTGTATTACTAAATATTTTTTTTTTTTTCAAGTATTAGAAATAAATTACTCATGATCTTGTGAAAGAAACGATGATATCTTAATCGAAAAAAAAATTGATTATATAAATGATAGAGCTCAATCATTTTGGCTATTCAATTCATGCTGAGAAAATGATGTGAAACATATTACAAGAATTCTTTATTTATGATTCATAAGATTCTATTTTCAACATTATTATATTTAATAATATCATTTTCTTGCAACGTAATAAAAGACTTTGAATTCAATATCGTCTTATGTTCCCCATAAGTATGCTTAACATAATAATCTAATTTTCATTTCTATGAAAAACTTGATGCTATTATGTTATCAATGATACTTGTTGGGATTATTCTATGCAATGAGTTTGAAAGTCTCTGACGTCTCTTATTCCGTTTATATTATTGAATTATTAATAGATAATTTCATTTTGTTTATACAAAAGATATTAAATTATACTTATTGCATAAATACAGATTCCTTTCATCTTTTTTTTATAGTTCTAAATGCAAAAGCTTTTAAAAAAATTCTAATGAGAAAAAAACGTTATATATAGATCAAAGGTGTTTCTATAAAAAAGATGGTTAATTTTCAAAAGTAGTCGTATGTCATGAATAAATAATTTTGATTGAATGTAACAAGTCTTTTTTGACATTGTACTCAAATTGTAATATTTAGAGAAAATAGAACTACTTTTAGTATAAATAATTATTTAATATGTAAAAATTGTTTGACTCATTGTTTAAAAGCAATAAATACTCAATGCAATTCAATCAGGAGACAATAAAGAAACTGCATCAGTCATGTTTAGTGATGTACTCAATGAATAATTAACTAAAAAATATGACTTTTCATTGAATTAAAAAGGCTTTGTTATTTCATTCTTTGTTATATATGACTTGAAGCGTTTACATGCTCATAATATGAATATTTTTTTTTTAGGCAAAGGAATTTTATTCTGGGTCTCCGGCACATTCAGACATAATGTTGGCTCTGATGATGATGATGGTGATATTACAAATTTTTTGTGCGATGTCAAAATGACGATGATGAAATCACGATGGAAAAATGACTTTCTTGGCTCGCGTTTCGTCGTTCGACTTTTATTGATAATATATTTATTTTGTTTAATTATTTCTTGCGACGTCGACCATACTTGAAAATGTACGGTACTTGTTGTTCTTCCATGACTTTTTGTAAAAGCAGAGTAAGCCAAGCTCTTGCAAACGGATTTGTTTCAACCAAAAGCTTGAGTGAAGGTGACAAACGTGTCGATTCATTCAACTGACTAAAATCGACAACGCTCTTTGCATGAGATGGATCAAAATACGCTCCTGCCGGAATAGCCGAATTGAAATTGAATTGTGTCGGTACTGAAGGTGATGTGTTGATTAATGATGATGGGGATCGTTTCTGTTGCCGTTGTTCTGGTTCTGGTTCTTGTTGCGCGTCTTCTTCTTTTTGTTGATGTTGATTTTTTAATAATAATAATAATTTTCTAGACAATGATTTAGATGATGATGGTTGCCGATAAAACTCTAATGGCTCATCGGGTGCATGAAGAGAAGAAGCGAACAACGATGAATCATCATTATGATCGTCAATTGTTGATAATTCATTGCTTTCGCCAATCAACATTTGAGATATATCACCACCTAAATCATAATCAATACTCGGTATTGGATGACGACGTAAGAGCCTGAGTGAAGAATATAAATCAGCAGATGGATGACGACGGATAAAGCGAAGGGTTGATGGTGAAGCTGGGAGACCGTGTACGTATGTGATGGATAAAAACAATGAGATAAGTGTAACGACGAACACGGCCAGAATGTCGGATAACATTATGAAAAAGAAGAGGAATTAGCAGTTCGTCGGATGTTCTGAAATATATAAAAAACATGAAATTGTACAATAAAAATTTAACAAATTTCTATAGAAAATTTTGTTTCTTAGCGATATTAATATTACAAATAAGTTGAAAAGAAAAGATACCAAAATTCATATTGACTATCTAGTTGTTTAGACATACAAATAACTACCTTAGTTATTATACTATGAGGTATTCCATAAAATAGTTCAAAGTCGCCTATGATTGCATTCAATCAAGGAAATATAATGCAATAAATTCAGGTGCATGATGACATATACAAACATTTTTTAAAATAATAAAATATTACTTATATATTAAATAAAAAAAAGTATATCTGTAAAAGATTGACTAAGAGCAACCAAAAAAACACTAAGCATTTATACTTTACCTAATGGCATACTCATCTTTCTCTGTTCTCTCTTTTTTTATTCATTCTTTCTCTTTATCAAGAAAAAATATAAGAACATTGTATAAAGATCGATAATGATACTTCAGCAATCTTAACTAAAAATACGAAATGCAACACACAATTATCCGGATGAGTGATAGGCAATGAGTAGTACTTGTTTCTCCATACATATACAATCATCTAATTTTTCATTGCAATTTTACAATTCTCAAGAGAGATCAAGCGAGAATATGTCTGTATGGTGGAGGTCAGCAGGAGACTATTCGATTGACGTTTGTATGTGACATTAATTGCAACTTTTTTTTGTTTTTTCCTTCTTTTTTTTGTTTAATCTATCTGTGTGTTGTCGTCTATTCAAATCAAATGAAAGATACGAAGAGTAATAACAAATCAATAGTCTTGTCTCAAGGAAACATTGATTTCTATTCTCTTTGTCTCTCTCTCTCTCTCAAAATATAACAATTGAAATAGCATGAAGAATTCATTGATGAAACAAAATCACACAATATAGCTAGGTGTCAAATAGATAGAAACACGCAATCATGACAATGATAAGAAAAGACATCGTCGATGATAATAGATGTTGTCATACAGTACTGATGACGGTGACATACAATCTCAAACATCAGTCAGGAAATGCACATTTGCTTTGCATATTTCGGTAAAAACTGCTCCTCCTTATTCTATGCCAATCATACAAGCGTATAGTAATCGCAAAAATATTCTTAAAATAAATAGACTTAAGCTCCAAAAAAGGAAGTAAGAATTAACGAATAGCAATCGCATAATGTTCTTTTTCTTGTTTTTATTCTTGCGTCCATAATTTTGTTTCAATATATATATATATATCAATTTATAAAAATTAAATGAAATTATATAAACACTAATATTATGCTAATATGGATGACAACAAGTGTAAAGATAACCTCATGATATAAAATATTTATATCGATATATATATATATATTTGAAATGCATTCAATCAGAAGGCTGTTTTTCATCTCCTGCAAGGAAACCACACAAATAATATCAAAAAAACATGTAAATGTTTTATCATATCACTAAGGAATCATTGTTTAATCATGACTTGAACATAAAAAACAATGAAACCAGTAAAAAGATGAACAACTCTTCTAACTTAAGGGTTTCTTTCATAATGTATAATATTACCTTTCGTGAATATTACAATAGCGAACAAGATTTTAATAAAGATGTTCATGTCACAATTCTAACATTGCGCATATATATATATACTATTGTCTGTATCAAATATTTATCGTCATTAACGACATTTCGTCTAACTAGAGTGTAAAAGGGAAAAATGATAAGACTCATAAAAATGGGACTATTGATTGATTGATTGGTTTTTCCGGAAAAGCAGTAGAAGAACAGAAAGAAAGAAGAGCGAAATAATAATATATTAAGAAGGAAAAAGCAAATGGATTTATATGTTGAATCGATCCGAACTCTAATGACATAAAATCAATGTATGCAATAATATATATATATATACAGAGAGAGAGAGAGATGATGACGGCAGTACTATAAGAGAGCGTATACAGAATAAATGTTTCGAATTATTTATTTGACTCTTTTTCTATAGTGACACATAAGTATAGGTCAACAAAGAGACACAAGTTTTCTTTTCAATAAAGAAATAATAAAGTCTCAAAAAAAAAAAAAAGAAAATTCTATTGATGAAAATGACTTTATTTTAATCAATTGTAAATGAATACGTGTGTCTAATAATCAAAGAATCAAAATGTAAGTGTCAAGTGAATTGAATATCATCACTTTTAAAGAAAAAGAGAAATTTTTCTGTTAATTACATTTGCACCTTCTTTCCTAGATCGCAGTACTTGAATCAATTCCTAGACACAGTTTGATAATAGCAGATGAAAAATAGTGAGAATCAAACGATTTCTGTTTCTGTTTTGTCTCAATTCATATATAGAATATCCGGAATAGTTCTTTCTTTCCTACACAATATTAGTCTATATATAAATATACAAATCAACTGTGAAAAAAAACAGTTGATCACATACGCCCACCTGTTTTTGATATTAAATAATTGAATTTTTCATATGCTGTTCAACCATCAAACCAGATCAAAGATGGATGGACAATAGATTATTGAAATTAGACTATTGTGAACGATAAATATACGATTGATATATTTATGATGCTTCTTGAAAATTACAAGGACACAATAGTTTTTGGTAATTTTTAGAAATTAATAAGAGTCACTCTTAGCTAAGATGTAAAAGGAAAAAAAAGAGAATAGTATATCAAGAGTAATCAATAGTGTTGTTGGGCTTGTTTGATTCAAATTGAATTCATTTTTTTTTCTCCTATCCTGATTAGTTATGTGATTCTTTCTCTATCTAGATGATGGTGTCTTGTTGTCATTTTCTTTTTTCTTTTTTTTCTTCTTCTTATAACTATAATAACAATAAGTTTTTTTTTTCTCTCTTCGGTTTCCTTCTTCACTCAAGCATCTTGACAACATATCCATTACGATACTCACTTTCAATTTCCTCTTTAAATCTTCTATTTTCATTTGTCTGTTTTCTCTTTCATTCTTTTTCTTGCATAAAGGAATCAAATTTATTTATATACATCCGTACTAAGCTTATATTGATGTTTTTATAAATGCAATGCTTTTTACGCATAACGAAAGACTGAGTAGGCGATGACTTCATCATTTGTCTATCTAACAAAGTAACATTCACTTGGGAGCATATCAATATCAATAAATAGACACCTTACTTCCTGGTTTTCCTGAATAGAACTTTCTGATTAAAAATAACACATATGATTTAACCGTTATGTCTGTTCAAGCGAAAAGTAACAATAAATGAAATTTATGCGCCTGAAATATCTTTAATAAAAAAAAAAAAAAAACAAAGCTTGAAAAAGAATATTTAATGTCAAAATCTATAAAACTGTCGGATTAAGAAAAAACAAGTGCACAATGAGATTCTTTGGTTTGTTTGTGATCTATTTTTAAAAGATTTAACCAAAGGTTACCTGTTGGTCTTTATCAAATACGTCGAATCCAATCGTTGATTTCCGTCGACTGTCAAATGATCGATATAGCATCGAATTCAGAATAAGACGATTCCCTAATTCGTTGACCTTTTTTTATGATTTATTGAAGTTCTCGGCTATCTATGAACTCACTTTTTTTTTGCTTTTTCTAATATGAACTCTTTCTCGTTTATCGAATGATGCTGCTTTTACTTAACTTGTTTCTGTTGTGTTGGAGTTGACATTATCATTATGGCAGCAAGAAAGTGTCTGTTGTTCTTTGCAGATTTATGCGTTTTTCTATTGAAATCTCTGGTGATTTCAAGCGTAGTAAGACTAATGATAATTATAAGCTGTGTTCACATGCTTTTTCTTCTGTCTTTAGCAATGTGTAAGTACTTGGAAACGAGTGAAAAAAATGTTTTAATTAGTTCAAGTAATAAACAGTTTCACATTTAATCAAAGAAATGGAAATGACTTTTAACATTTACAGTTAATTAGAATATAGTAAAAGTTATTTTAAGTTAATGGTATTAAAACATTTTATTTTATTATGATAATTTCGAATTGACGTGAGAAAAAAAGTTGCTTTCATTATGGATTTACTTAGATATAAGCATCCATTATTGACAAATAGACTCATGCACAATTTTAATAAACTTTTTATCATGTACAAGGAAGTAATAAAAATAAAATTAATTTCTCTTTTCCAAATATAATTTAATATGATTGATAATATATAATATTTTTATCTTATTTTGAGATAGATACAATTTAACTCGGTAAAAAATTGATTTAAGAATTTGATTTCTATTATTTTCATAGAATTAAATAATAAATTTATTTACCGGAAATTATAATGAGTGTATATTTGTTCTAATTCTAATTTTTGAAAGTATGTAGAAAATAAAAATATAAAACAATTCTTTTTATTTATTTATACAAAAAAACAATCACTGGGTATTCATGATAAGTAACTAGACGATTAAGTTTTAAGATCTGATAACTTTTAAATTTGAAGACTGTCATATGATAAAATTAAAATAAAAAATTTCATTGTTTATTTCTATAGAATTTTAGCATCTAATAATTTTCCAGTTAATATAATACCAACTGAACAAAATAAAATTACAACCCATGCAAATATTCCGAGTATAGTTGAAATTATAAGAACAGATGATATTCTATTTGATAAACGTTCAGCATCATTTAATTCTTGTCGTTGAATCATGCGACGTAATTTAAATGCTTTATAGAGTGCCCAACATGGTCCAACAATAAAAAAACAAAATATCGTAAGAATTAAAGCCCATTTGAAATGAGTAGGAATTTCAATGGGTTTTATTTTAACTGAATTTTTCGGAGGTTTTGATGTCTGTGATGGTAATGGAGTTTTCTTTTTATTATTATTTGATTGTGATTGATATTGCTTAGATGGAAGGTTTCTGACTGATAATGGAACTGGTGGTTCTTGTTGTATAGAATTGAAATTTTCAAGTTTTTCTGTCATTTGTTATTGTATTATTTGACCTTCTGTTTGTGAAAAATAATCAAATAGAAAAAATAAAAAATAATGCTATGAGCAACTGCTTAACAATGACGAAAAAAAAACTTTTTACGTTCTTCATGATTGCTACAATGAAGCTGAGAATTAGAAAAAAAAAACGAAAGACAAAAACAAATATCACAAGCTACGTCTACACATCAGTCTGATGATTGCATATCAACATACTTTCTTGGCTTTTGAATTTTTTATTTTGTATTAGCATACAATCCATTATTGATAAAACATCATGTCGGTTTCAATCATGTTATTCTGTTACTTTTTTGATATGGTAGATCATCATTTCTCTCTTTTTCTATTTCATTGATTTGTGCTTCTTACTCATAAAAAACTACGTAAGGTAGAAAAAAAAAATCAAATCAGAAGGGTTCTTTCCGATCTTTTCTTGTGTATGCGTCAAACGTAAAGTAAATATTCTCTATTCTTTATGACTTCTTTCGTTCTGCTAAGAGGGTAAAAAAAGAATTTTTGATTAAATATCTACGAAGTATATTAGACCTTTTGATTTTTTTTTTGCTTTTATTTTGTAATAAAAAAAACATACAATGACCAATCACATTCAATGAATAGGAAAAAACGACAGAAAAGAATAGATTATTATCACCGATTATATACTATTTATGATAATACATATATATATATATAATTTTTAAAGAGAATCAGGTGTTGATGAAAGAATTTTCAAATTAAGTTCATATAATCGATGACAAACATCTGCAATTGAAGGATTTTGTTGAAGAATAACAAGTAAATCTAAATAAAACATATATATTCAATTCTATAATAGTGCATTTTTTTTGTTTTTAATAATTAAACATACTTGCTGTTGTATGCATTTTTTTTAATGATTCATAAAGAATTGTAAGTGCAACATCAACTTCATTATGTTCATCACCAAAATCATCTGGCCAAAGTGATCTTTAAAACAAAATAAAGAAATTAAAATAAAATTTTTTTTGTAGAATTTTTCTTACCGTGCTGATCGAAGATATTTAATTGCATTTGAATATGTATTTGAATGTAAACATTGAAATATATAAGCTATTGCTGTATCACGATTTGGTAAATTATTTGTTTCAATTGTTGGTTGATCTTCTTTACCCGAACGAAGATCATTCAAAAAATCATTTAAACCATTTGATGCTGATGTAAATTCTGAAGATAAATTTCTTACATTTATTGTTAAATCACGTGCAACAGGTAATAAATTGTTAACTAATTTTGAATAACTTTCTGCTAATGTTATTACTTGAAAAAATAAGTCTAAATTAAACAAAATACTTGTATGTTAGCCGTACAAACATATATTAAATTATGAAAAAATCCAAAGAATCGAACAGCATGAGTTTTCAAATAGAAAATGCTGGAAATCAAAACTTTACAGTTCGCATACATTCATCATTTCAATTTTTGTAGATTAGAACGTACTCATCTATCTTTCCGATTTACTCTTTCGTTCTAATCATGAATTTTTTAATACATGACATTCATATCAAAGTTTATCAATTGTTTTCAAAGATAAAAAGCATATAAAATATGAATTTAGAAGAATTCTATGCTATCCATCGTATTATTAACACGATTTTCGATCTTAATCGTTTCGTCTCCAAGTGATTGATTAGAGGCATATGTTTTTTTCTCAGTTTCTCTCCTAATATGTTATTTATATAAAAAACAAAAACTTTGACAAGTCTAACATAAGAGTATCCTCTTTCTTTCGGACTACTTCTGATTCCACAAGAGAATACAACTGATCAGACTGAAATTTGTTTCTGGAGGTACTTGAGATAGAACCTTCGAGGTGTTTTAAAGCATTTTGAAAGATATCAATTTTTTCTAATTATTGATATTTTTCAAAATACTTTAAAACACCTGTAAGATTCTGTCTCAAGTACCACCAGAAACAAATTTCAGTGCGATCAGTTGTATTGTCTTGAAGAACCAGAAGTAGTCTAAAAGAGGAAAGCATTCTTAAATAGATGCTTGAAATTAGGATTGTGGGCGTCACTTTATTTTTATTACTCCTTATAATAAAACATTAACATATAAATAATAAAGAAATTGCTTTTTTGAGAATCTAATTTCTATCAAGTAGTTCACACAACTTTATGATTTCATAAGTACGAATAAAATATATAGAAAAGCTTTTCGCATACATTTTTCTCCTGCATCAACTTCATATTTTTTTTTAATAATATCACATATTGAAGTGATGTTAGTGATAAGAAAGAATGTTTATTAGCATATTCTGTAGTTACACTAAGCATTTGTCTATTTACCTATCAAAAAGATATATTTACCATATAAAGTAAAGATAAATTAACATTTCCTACTTGAAATAGTCGTATAGATATTGACGAAAGACATAAAAAGGTTTGTCAGACATCAATAATACTAAACTTGATTGTTTTCTTTTCTTTATGCATCAATTTTATTTTGAAGGATAAAACTTAAGTTGAGTACTTTAATCATGAATGACAGTCTTGACAGTTTATTTATACACTCTAATTAGTCTAACAAGTCTTTTGTAGCATTACACAGAAATATGATCACGATTATTGTAATCAACCGCTCAAAATAGATGATCTTATTAGTATTTCTGGAATAGCTCCATCACCTTTTCATCTATATAAACATTTTTTTGACAGTACTCCTCTTCTTCAAATAACTCTTTTTACTAAATGAACCCATGTAATAACTACTAAAAAACTACCGTCAGTTTTTTTAAAGATGTTGTATCAAAACGAGTGAATATTTTTGAAGTCTGCTAAAACTGATGGAATTGAGCTGTTTTCGATACATTATTGTATGTCGATGGATCTGAGTGGTCTGTACTAGCCATAGAGCCCTGATCAGCTCTAGTGAGAAGATAAATTTTTATCAGTTTCTTCTCGATTAATTTGAATTCTTTCTAATAAATAATCCAAAGTCAAGTAGAACATTTGAAATCATATTTAAACAAATATAAATACAGCATATTCTAAAAGTTAGCCGTGAAATAAAACTTGAGGGTATGGGTGTGAGTCGGAAATGAATGAGACTGTAGGTCTCCTTTCTATCCAAAGCAACACCAATGTGAGCAAGTGTCCTAGACCCATTCTAAGACATGATCACTTTTTATAATAAAATATTATGTTTAATAAAGCATCGAATGTTTACTTACTATAAAGATGTTTACACATATGAATTTTTTGTTCATTTGAAACAAATTTATTATAACCTCGTTCACCTAATGATTGTAATTTAAGATTAGCTTTAATTGAATCAAGACAATCAATAGCTAAAGCTTTTTTTGATATATAATTTCCATAATTTTCATTTAATTCAGTTATAATTAAACGATGTTTTATTAATAATTGATTGATATTCATTATATTCTCATCAATAAAAACTAATGTACAATCAAGATTTTCCATTAAAATATTAAGCATATGAACTAAAAGGCAAAAAAACAAACACAAGACATTTTCAAGATAAAAAAAGCAAAAATAAAAAAAAAATACAAACCAAATTGTGAAACAATTTGTCGAAAACGATTATCCATTGAAAGACAATGACATGTTTCATGAACAAATATAGATAATCTTCGTCGAATTTCCTTGACAAGAAAAAGAAAATCAAACAATAATGAACAAATTTATTCTTTTGTTTTTATTTATTTAAAATTTTACTTTAAATAAACGTCGAAATAATAAAAATGTTTTAACACTATCAGATGAATTTATTTCATCAATTAAATTTTTAGCATGTGTTTGCCAAGCATCTTCAATATATTCATTATTCATTGTAACAACATGTAAAAGTCCTGTTGGATGATAATTTTGAGAAACAGTTAAATCAGGCATATCTTCACTAAAATAACAAAAACAAAAAGTTTAATTCATTATATTTTTTGCTATAAATAAATTTGAATATAGAAATAAGCCAACACAAATACGAAACTGTGCAAAGTGGTGTGAGTTGCTTGGATAAATAGACAAAAAAAAACACATACCGTGACCATGATGTCCAGATTTTGCTCGGTGCTCTCCTTTTGGTCTTTTTCGGTTCTAGTCTATCTACGATGTATGAGCAGCGTAGACTAGAAAAATTTATTTATATTGAGCAACACATGCATATTACTCGAGCAGAAAAAAAGAATCAATTAGTTTACATAAAATACTTACGAATTAACAGACGCTCCTGTTCTTTCTCTTCCTGTCGTTGGTGCTGTTGCTATTGGAGCTGTTGTGGTTGAAGCATCCATAGCCGATGTAAATTCTTCCATATGTCTTGATGTATCAACAACAACATCAGTCATGTGAGTAAAATCACTTGCACTATGCTAAAGTGAAACATATATCAAATTATTACAATAACGTACAAATCAATAAGACATGTTAACAAAATATAAAGCTTGTCTATCAAGCAATATGTTACGGCTGCAATGGTACAAAACAAATACGGAGAAAAGTTTTTTTTATTTTTTTTTGTTACTGTGCAATAGAAGTTATTATGTATATGCGCACAAAGCAGAAGAAAGGGACAATGAAATCAAAATACAAGACTATCCAAGATAACCTTGCGATAAGCTGTTTTGCTTCCATTGGGACTAGTAAATACTGGTAATTTTCCACGAAATTTTGATTTTAGTCGAGATGGATCAAACCATTCGCCAACTGATGATAAATTTCGTAATGTATTGCTGATACTATGCCGTCGTGGCTAAAGGGAATACTGATCATTATTAAATGGAAATATCAGAATAAACAAAAAAAAAAGTAAAAAAAAGCTTTTTTTTTTTTTCTTCTTTTGTTTTAATAAATAAAACTTCATAATATACCTCGGTATCAACAGGTAAATGAGCATCATCAAATGATATCATTGGTCCATCATCTTCATCAACAAAATCTTGTATTTCAGTTGTAATTGGAAACATTTCATGAATTGAATCCTAAGTAAAAATATATATTACAAAAAAACAAAATAATGCAATCTCATTTGTTTTTTTAAATAAGACACCTCATCATTTAAGAAATCAAATTGTTTTGATATAAATGTTTGATCAACATTTTCCGATGTCATAGATTCTTTACTTGAACTTGGTAAACTACCAATTGGAGGTTGTTCGGCTAGATCACTTGTTTGACTAAAAACAACCTATTCGAAAAAAAATAAAAAATCCATAATAAATAAAATAAATTCAATTTTTTTTTTGTTTTATTCTTATAAACTTACACTTGCACTTCGATTTAATGGTAATCGTGAAAGACCAGCTTGTTTATCACATGCAAACATTAATGCCATTAAACGTTCACGAGTTCTTATCTAAAATTTAAATCATATATAGATAAAAAATAAGCGTAATAAAAATCTATCTATAAACCTGTGATTGAGTAGCATTTTGTTTCCAACTAGTTACATCTACTTCTGAAGTAGTAATTGTTGCACCAACACATGTATGTCGACGACGATTATTAATAGTTAAACCTGATGATGAATATTTCAAAGCTGTTTGATTTTGTTGTTCTTTGACTTTAATAGCATTCATTATTTGAGATAAATTATAATCAATATCCAATGTTCGACCTATTTTTATAAGACAAGATAAGAGATTAAATGTCAAAATTCATCTATGAAAATCTAAGATTGAACAATACTATTATCGGTTCCATAAGTCAAAGTACTCGATTGTTTTTTTTGAATAACTTTTGATAGTTAAGACTCAAGATCATATTTTTATAAGCAAAAATCTTTTCTGAAAACAGAAAGTTCGAAAAAACAGATTTTTCAAATAATCTATGGAGAATCACGCTGAATTGCTGAAAACTGTCATAACAGCCTATTCAGTTTTTTTTTAAATGTTTGGAAATCAGCATAAAAAATTGAGTCCACTGATATATGTTTCAAATCTATTCAAGAACTTTTTTTTTCGTCGAAAAATTCATCTCTTGTTCTACTATCATTTTACCAGATTCGAACTTGCTTTTCACTGTTCAAGTAACTTTTGACTGAGTTCATTTTGTGACTTATCCTTCAGGAGGATTAAGGGTGAATTTTTTGATGAAAAAAAAAGTTCGCAAAAAGATTTGAAACATATAAATCGACTCAATTTTTGATGCTGATTTCCAAATATTTTAAAAAAAACCAATAGGCTGTAATAGCAGTTTTCAGAAATTCAGCGTGATTTTCCATAGATCATCTGAAAAACCGGTTTTTTTCGAACTTTCTATTTTCAAAAAAGATTTTTACTTATAAAAATATGATCTTGAGTCTTTTTAAACTATCAAAAGTTATTCAAAAAAAAAACAATCGAATACCTTGACTTCTGGAAATGATAATAATATCTCAAAATAGATCCTATCCGTACTCTATTTTCAGTTAAGTTGATTTTCTTTATAAATCATTATCTTACCTGGTAATTCAATACTACTTTTATGTGTATCAAAAAAATGAACTTCACCCATTAATGAACTAAGTGGTGCTGTTGTATAATGATTATTAGTTGTTATATGTTTAGGTGTTGATAATATTGATGAACGTTGTATTAATAATTTTAATGTTTTCGTTACTTCATTACAATATTCAGTTTTATTAACATATTTACATAATGTTCGAACAAGTTCATTATTAAATAAAGCATAATCATTTAATGATTTCGTATCAATTAATGTAACAAGATGATAAAATATATCTAATATTGATATTTGTAAATAATTTGGACCATTATCAAGTATTTCACATAAAAAACGAATCCAATTTATTGAATCTTGTATATAAACATCAGTTAAATATTTTAATACACATTTAGCCCATTGTGATGCTGTTGAACTAAATTTTCCTTGTGCATATAATGACATAACAGTTGTTAATTCAGTTAATTTCGCTTTATCATCATGTTCATTACATACTCGTGCTATTCTTTCAGCTGCTTGTATACAAACAACATGTTGATTATCATAATTATACATCATATATGGTAATAAAGCAATAACATTCATAGCTAATGATGAATTATTTATTGATATAAATGGTAATGTTAATATATTTGTTAAACAACTAATTAATATCATTGTTGATTCAAATGTTATTGTTGATGTACAACCTTTTAAAACTAATGATTGTACACCTGGAAATTGTTGCCATTTAATTGTTTTAAGTATATTCATAATACGATCAATATAATCATATGTATTTAATTGTATTTTATTTATAATTGTTATTAATAATTGTATTGATAATGTAAATTCATATTCATAATCTGATTCAAGTAAACACATACCAATCCAAAATAATTGTGCTAATACAGTTTTAGCATCATCAATAGATGCAGCTAATGTTTGAACATCATTTGTATTTGTTGTATTATTATTTGAATTATTTGTAATTATATTTGAAAAAAGATTTTGTTGTTGACGAACATTTTGTGCACTACGTGAACGTGTTAATGTTGATGTTGTTGATGAACAACTACGATCAGATTCTGGACTAAGACGTAATATATATTGTTGTTGATCATCAGGTCGAAGTAAAAAACCATTATTTGTTGATATACTTGGACATATTGTTGTTGTTGAATAACCATCAGTTAATGTTGATGAATTCATATTTAAATTTCTTGGACTTGTTGGTGCTGTTGCCATACCAGAATTTGTAACAACAATTGATAAACGATCACGTGATGGATGACGATATGTTTGATTATGTTGTCGACGATCATTTGAAAATAAACGATTTTGTAATGCTTCAATTTTATTTGTTAATGTTGATGGATTTATTATAGAAGAATTTAATGATTCTTTTGATGGTGATAATGCTTGAATAGATGTTGAAAGTGAACCTTTGATTTGTTTATATATTGCATCAACATTATGTGTTAATGTTAATAAGATTTCTGTTACATATCCTTGCATATCATCATTATGTTCAGCAACTGTTCCAATTAAACGAGAAAGTATATCGATTACCCAACGAAAATTTAATGGTAAACCTAATGCACGAATTATCTATATTAAATAAATAAAAATTATAATTCATATCAAATTAAAATGTACAAACTATCGAAAAGAATATTTTCATTCAATCTGCACTGTTTAGAATAAGTAGTTTCTTGTTTCAGAAAAAATATTTTGTTGATAGATTTTACAAAAATAAATATGCGTTTTAAGGATACCTTCGATATTTCGCCTTTTTTTCTATTCGAAGGATATAAAAGAAAGAGATGTTCATCCCAAACAATTCCTAGTGCCTACTGAAAAACATTTTCAACTCAATTGAACATAACATCTCACTAGGGAACCTTCCAAGGTGCGAGAGCGCTTTTCAATCGGGGTTTCGCGCATCTTGTAGCCCATAGTGTGCTATGTCTATGGTAAAAAAAAGTTCGGGTTTCTGGCTTGTTTCTGAGGAGATATCGAGCTGTTAGGGAATTTTCTCTATAGTACGCCTACATTGGCAGCAAAGCTATACTTTCGAATTTTGACCTGAAACTTTGCCTGCATAAAGGCCTCAGCTAGACTAGTTTGCATAAAAAATTTCAGAAGTTTTGAATAAAGTCTCTCTAAGATATGAAACTATCAAGGTATAGTCCCTTTTTCATCAATAATATATATAGTATGCATTTTTTTCAAAGCTTCATATCTTTGAGAGACTTTATTCAAAACTTCTGAAATTTTTTATGCAAACTAGTCTAGCTGAGGCCTTTATGCAGGCAAAGTTTCAGGTCAAAATTCGAAAGTATAGCTTTGCTGCCAATGTAGGCGTACTATAGAGAAAATTCACTAACAGCTCGATATCTCCTCAGAAACAAGCCAGAAACCCGAACTTTTTTTTACCATAGACATAGCACACTATGGGCTACAAGATGCGCGAAACCCCGATTGAAAAGCGCTCCCGCACCTTGGAAGGTTCCCTAGTCAGAGAAACGGAAGCGCCATTGATTGTGATTCCAGTATTCCATTGAAGATTGTATTCGAGAACTTTTACTCTATGACAATTTTTGCTCTATTAGTTAAGATCTGCGTATACTGAAAGTTTCAAAATTTTCAGCATACGCACAATTCTCCAGAAAGCTGAAGAAGGGAACTCGTTGAATAGTTGATTAATACTTTCCAAAATTTCATGCTTTCTTAAGTTTTTCTCACTTCTTCCCAACAATTAGCTTTTTTCTATGAATACTACTTCATCCTACTGATTGACGTAAATGAAATACAAAGTAATTCAAAATAAATTAAAAAAAAGCATAAACATGCATCATAAAGCAAAACACATACAAACAGTACTAACATGAAGGTGTTATGGAATAATGACATGATTATACCTCGAAATGAATATTCAATCCTACTAACAATGATAGAATTTGGCAAGTAGAATTGTTTTATAAGTCTATAGAACTTTTGAATTATTTTCTAATTCATTTACGTCATGAACTCAATATATTTATTATTATAAATACTTGTAATGATCGTCCAGCATAATGTCGACTTGAACAATTTAATGTTATTCGTAATGCTAATTCCATCCATCGTTCTTCAAGCATAGCTTGTGGTACACATGTACGAAATAAAATAACAATCCATTGAACAAATTGTGTTAATTGTAATGCACTACGTATTGTATGTAGTTGAGCTGTTATATCTTCATATGCCCATAGAGGACAACCTTTTTTTGTATGTAAATATGTTATTAAACGTTGAACAGCTTCTTCGCGTGATAAATTTGAGGAAGAAATTGTATCTGTTAAACTTTCATTATTTGAAGATAATGAATTATCATTAAGACTATCAGTAAATAAGGAATGACAATTTGCATTTAAATAATTTGTATCACGTTCTTGACGAATTTTTGTTGATAATTTACTATTATCCCAATCAACATGTGAAAGAAGCATTTCACTTAACCATATTTGTTCAGATTGAACACTGAATGCAAGTAAAAGATTAAATACAAGACTTTTACAATGTTCATAAACAATTGCTCGATTATGATCCATACCTTAAATTAATATTTAAATAAATTTAAAACTTTCTTTTCTATTTAAAAAAAAATATACTATACCAAGCATAGCAACGTGTAATAGTTGTGGTAAATGAGCTGACCAATCAATTTGAAGACCACTTACAATAAGTTCATTAATAAGCATTACCGCAATACTACATCGAAATAGACATGGAACTGGAATAGATAATTCTGGTAAAAGAGTTTTTAATGGAGCTGCAATACCACCATATGGAGCTAATGGTAATGGAGCTGCTTGTAGACATTCATCAACACGTACCATTGTTGGATGATCTATTTTAGAAAATAAATCTATTCTTATTTAATAAAGAAGAAAAACACGAAAGTGAGTTATGAAATTACAGGCAATCAGGTTTATTATGACAGTATCAGCTAGAAGAAATCAAGAAAAAGATTTGAGTAGCTAAAATGATTTCCTATCAATAGGTTTAAGCACAAGGTTTCTGAAAAAGCAAGACTTCCAATAACCAGTTTTCTGGATTCTATCAAAAACGTTTTTCAAACAAGTTCATCTAGTAGAGAAAAACTATTTTTGAACAAAATAGGATATCCTCCCGAGCTCTTCATAGCCTATTTTCAGTAAACTGCATTCACTCTACGAAAGGCTCTAAAGTGTAAAACACAGTAAATTCATGTAAATCTTCATAAAAACAATCGAAAACAGCCTTTTAGGTCTATCACACAATGATTGTCGTTTGCTGAACATAAGTCGTAGAAAGTTCAGAGATAAGTATCTCTCTCCTGATAGGAAATTATTTTAGCTGATCAAATCTTTTCTTCGATTTATTCTAACCGTGACCGTTAAGGAGAAAAGTCAGTTTCATCTTACAATAAAAATATTGATTGTTGTTTGGAATTTATCGCTTCCCAGAAATATTCCACGCACTCTGTTTATACCTGAGTAAGTTTACTTAATTCAAAATATATTCATATATATCCAAACACATGATTATTTACGCAATACATAATCGATATTCAAAATTTACTGGACTATATGATACTTAATGGATTTGATCGAAGAAATTGAGTGTTACACTAATTCAAAGATCGTAATGAACTGTCAGATGATGCAATACTCAAGCTTTTTGGTAATAATTAAATACAAGCGATAAATGTTTTGCTACTGGCATGTTCATTATTGACGGAAGGAATACAAAATAGATCTATTTCAAACTTTATGGCGTTCTCTAAGCATCTATGAAGTCTATTGATAGAATATGACATATGAAAATCAATCTAAATAATATTAACCTTTATCGATATCTGCTGTTAATTTTTCATTAAAACTTGTTGATAAACTATTTTGTGATAATGTTCGTAATTTATTTGAATTTAAATATGATATTTGTTCTTGTTGAAGATTATCATCTCCACTATCATGACGTTTCGTATGTAAAACTCCACGATTTTCATTTATATTTGATGTTTTTCGTACCGTATTAGTTCCTGATACTTGTGTTGTACTATTATTATTTATAAAAAACATTGATGAAGAATTATTAAAACGATAAAATGGTAATGTATCTGTTCTTTCAAGTGATATATTTAATGATTCTGTTATTTGTAATTCATTTAATAATTCATTTAATAAACGTTCTTCATGATTTTTACACATATACAGAATAATTTTTTTTGCATATGGTAATAATTCACATGGTGATAAAGTTATCATTATTAACATGTAACGTAAGATTACTTTTAAATTATGTGACCAAGTTCTATGAACAAAAAAATAGAAAGAATAATTAAAGATTTTCTTGTTGAAAAGAGAATTTTTACTCAGTTAATGCATTCCATAGTAATTCAAGTTCAGGTGCATGTTCAGAAGAAAACTAAAGAATTTCGAGTATAGATTGCTTTTTTTGGATATTTTAAAAAATTAAAGAAAAACATACTGTTGCTGTTAAATAGAAAAGATTATTAAGTACAAGTTCAGTTGATTGTACTGAACCCCAACCGGTTCCTTTTAAAAATGCACTTCCATGTTCTTCATGTAATGGAATATCATGTCCATTAACACCTTTTGGTAATGATGGATCAACAAGTTCAATATTATGTATCCATGGTAATAGAATCATAAATAAAGTTCCACGTGAACTTGAATTTGCTGTTAAAATTCTTATGGTAATTTCTATCAAAAAGAAAAATAATAAATAAATAACTTTTTCTACTTTATCAAAAAACGTTTTCTTTTTTCGAAAAAATCCTTTTTATTTGTTAGCTACTTATTTTTTTGTCGTATAGTGACATTTTAGAGGCTCAGAACTTGTTTTCCACTGACCAAATGATTTTTTAATTTAAATTCATTTTTTTCGGCTGAACTCTGAGGAAAATCCATTATTTGTTTTGACCCAAACCATTCTTTTTTTTTTTTCAATCAAAACCTGTTAGATCAGTGATAAAAATGATGTCTAACAGAAATACAAGCCGTCTTATTTAATGAAGGTCACTTCTAAAAGATTCAAAAAGTGTTTCACTTTGTAGTCTCTTTTATAAGCTCTCTGAATCGATCACAAATCCATGTTACTTATTAAATATTTACATCGTTATTCGGCAGCACTTCCATTGTTTCAGCTGAAATTTTGACTACATAATGACTCTAGGATGGATGATCGATTGACAAAGTTTTTCATGTGATAGTATGGAAAAATTTATACGAGCCAGCCTTTCATGCATGAAACATACATTTATGATACAAAAACTGAATATGAATAATTTCAATAGGGAAGAGAAACCGAGAATAGGCGTTGTATGCCTGTGTTCTTTTTTCTTTGTTAATTTTACCTGAAAACATTGCCATAGTTAAATCTGGTCGACGTCTTGCTAAATATTCACTTAACATCATCTGACTTTTAGAATAATTTGAAGCAAGAGATATAATATATGCAATATCATCTGATGATGATATTCCATTTGATTGTTGACTTGTTCTTGGTTGAGATTCACTTAAATGTCCTTTACATAAAACAACCATTAATCTTAATGCTAATTCATGAACATGCATTCGTGGTGATCCAACATTAGTTAATGTTAATGTTAAAACTGATGGTAAATCACATGGATAATCACTTTAAATGAGAAAAATTTTATTCAAAAAAAAAACAAAACAAATAAATAATTGAATGAATTACTTGGTTACTTCAATAAATACTTTCGCAAGTGCAGTAAAACATCGATCACTAAAACGAACTGATTTCGTATAACATCGATCAATGACCCATTCAACAACCATTGTATTTGTTGTTTTTCCATGTAATTCAAGTAATTGATAAAGAGTTGTTACTGATAATTGACTTGTCTAAATTAATTTTATAATATAAAATTTATTATGAAAATATCATACGATGGGTTTAGATAGCTTGAGCAAGTAAATATTTACCAACACCGAAATTAAAATCAGTTCAGTTTGAAGTTTATATTCAAAGACAAAGGAATTAGCTTGATGTTCGCTAATCTATCATTATTTCAAATTTCTAGTTCTTATAATAGTGAATGATAATTGTTGGAATTTAAAGATATGTTCACATTTCCGAAATAAATCTCCTCATACAAAAAAAAAGAAGTCATGGCCTTCTATTCTGGATAGAGAGAGTCAGCAACAATTTCGATCAATCAAATTTTGTTGAACATAACTAAGTAAAGATATGTAGCGCATATATGAAGTGATAGTAGGCAACAAATCCTGAATATATTACACATAAATCAACTCAGATTCTTCGAACTAGAAGAACTGCAATTGAACAGCCTGTATCAACCACAGTTTGGCGGACTAATTTAGCCTCAAAACAATGTTTCGTGTCTTTTCGAAAAAAAACAACAACTACTAGTCTATGAAAGCGTTCAACTAAGTTACGAAATGGTCAATCAGGTGAGTTCTCGGTAAAGATTTTCACAAGCAATATTCGAGAATTATAAGGCTTTTCCTACGACGACCGATTTCATCTGGCAGCGTCGAATGTTGACTCCTTTGTTACATAAAGACTGATTGTGAAATTTCAGATAATGTAGTCAGATCATTTCGAACCTAACAACAAATATCACCGTTCGACTTAGCATGATGAAGCCAGTGGTCTTAGAAAAAGTCTTATAACTCTCGAATATGGTTTTCGAAAATCTTCACTGAGAGCTCATCCGATTGGTCAATTGATTACTCTGGATATTCTCTCTTGAATAGTGAAAATCGTGAAAGACCTTATATTTTGAAATAAATAATAGCTCATATATAAGTGTTCAAGCAAAACCTTGATTAACTCTTTCCCATAGGATTTTATCTGCCAAAATCACTACTTTTGATATGTCTTAAGTAACAAGTTTTGGTAATGGTTAAAGTATAAGAGAGAAATTCTACGAAAATTTTACACAAAATTTCAGAATTTTTCGATATTACTAAAATTTCTCCATACCTAAATAAACATCAAACTTTTATCCTCGAATAAAAAGCTTCAAACGTCTAATTCAATAACCGTAACAACAATTTCAATATAGCACATAGAAGCAAAGTAAAACATATTTCAAGAAGAAGAAACAAGCTTAATATATTAGAATAGTCTCTTGTAATTTTATTTAAATTCATTGAGCTTTAGCAATAAAGTAATAATTGTTCGATTATGAAAAAAAACGACTTACAACCAATGATGGATATATCTTGATATAGATTGAAAAATATGATACAAAACAATTTTGAAAATTTTATTTTCTAATATTACCTCATGTGCTGCCATAAATTGATCAAGCCATGGTACAACAGTCTTTTGAAACCATTCATCTTTTATTGTACCACAACAAAGTGTTGCTGCACATGCTCGTATAGCAATTAATTCTAATTCACTACATGGTTCTGATTTAATTTGTTGTTCTCGTGTATTACTAAATATAATAAATATTAGATTTTTTATATTAGAAATATTATTTTTCATTACCTTGGCGAAGCAAAAACAGTCATAATATTTAAATTTCCACTCCATTTACGAAATAATTCAAAAAGACTATAACGAATTTGTGGTGGTATTAATGTTTCACGTATTTGATCTAAATTTTTAAAATGATTCAAATAAAAATATATTAGAAAATAACATACGAGGAATTTGATTAATAAATTTATAAATAAATCGAGCAAAATATTGACGAATTTGTTGAATTAGGTCTGAATCTTTTTCATTTTCAAGATCAAGGTAACTAAGTGCACCTTGAAGATATTCATGATAAACTTGATAAGATGTATGTTTTATTTCAGTTTCATTTAAATAACTAAAAAAAAAAACCAGCCAAGAATACATTTTATTAAAAAAAACAAATTTTAGTTATATTATTCTTTTACCAATAGCGAAATACTTCACGATCGGCTAATAATTCAAAAATACGAATTAAACGTAAACGCATATAATCACGTTTTTTCATTCGTCGAACTTTTTCTTGTTTAACTTCCATAGCATCTTTTATATGAACTGTTAAATCTTCCAATAAATCTCTTTAATTACAATAAAAATATAAAAAATTTAATAGAAATAAATTTTTCACCAACTTAAATGCTTCAGGATTCGTTCGACCAAGACCACGAATAACAATTTCTCGCATATCACTTGTTTCACAACGAAGTAACTAAAATATTTACAAAAAAACGATTTCAAAGATTGACGAATTTCAATTGTTTCAAAGCATAAATTCATATAGTAATTTTAATAGTCAATGGAGTCTTAAATATAAAAGCAATCCACATTAAGATCTCAAACTGTGATGACAAGGTTTCTAAAAAACTAGACTCGGCAGTTTTAAGATCTTTGAAGATTCCATTTTCCTGGAAAAGTTAAAAGCACCACAAAAGTCACAGTGTTCAGTTCTGGTGGAAACGTTACTATCGAAGTTCATCTGTGAAATTTTTGCTATAGAATGCATTAGATAGAAACTCCATTGGCTATAAAAATGATTGTTTAAGTTTGCGCTCAGTCCTTAACATTTTAGAAAAAAATATCAAAAGAGACGTTATGGTGAAACGTTTTTTTTTTTCACAACTATATATATGTTTTGGAAGAAATCAGTCTATTATCAAGAATTAAATAAATACACTTAAAGTATTTTTCATAATTCATTGATCATAAAAGTACATTTATTAAATTGTCAAAATTTCTTATTTTTTACAATTAAGAACAAAGAAGCAAAGTCACAATTCGAATAATCAATAGTAATATTTGACGAATGCACAAGGAATTTATTTCAATTAGATAATATGTAGATTTCTTCGTTCTTTATCATTGACTAATTACTGATTAATTAGCTGGTACGACAAAAATTCTAGATTAATTTCGTTTATTGATGTAGGGTTATATTTTAACACGCTACGATAGAGTTCATATTGACCGTTATAAAACTCAGAACAGAAGAATAAAAAACAAAAGTTTTTTATTAGGTGAAGATTTTTAGAATCGATCTATTTGATAATTCATTTATCTTTTCAAACGCTAATATTACAAAATGGATTTTTTTTTATTAGGAATGGAACCGATCAGTTTGACACCCGAACTGACACTGTGCTACATAGTTGAAGATACGGGTTCACTTTCTCAATAATTTTTTTTAAATTTCAAATTTGTTAATACCATAATAGCAGAAAAGCAAATACGATAGACCCGTCAGGGTGAAATCCATACCAGTTACCGAACGATCCCAGTTTCATCCTATGCTGTTTGTATTCATAATTAAATACTTATTCTACAATCATACTTACATTAACAACAATTCGAAATAATGATACGGCAGTATTCGATGCTGGTGTATAAAATTTCGATGAATCTTGATGTGTTTCTTGATAAACACTATTAAATAAATAAAATCGATTATTTTTAGAAGAAAAAAAAAAAAAAAACTTTTTTGTTTTATTTAAACCTTGTATCAACATTAAATTGTTGTGATTTTTCTGTGCCGGAAAGAGTTAAACAACAAGCACAAATTAAATAATTTTTCCATAAATTTAAATTATATTCTCTTTCATTTGCTTTTTTTAATATATCAGTACTTCGAAAAACAAATGATGAACGAATTTCAGTTGTTTGACTACTGTAAAAAAAAAATGAAAATAAAATAATTAAAATTTTCTATTTTTGCTTTGTTTTTTTACTTTGGATCAACATAAGGAAATAATTGTGTTAAACGAAAAAAAACCATTCTCCATGCTTCAATACGTGTCAATGGACATTTAAGAATATTTTTGTATACAAATAATTCTGCAAGACATTCTGTCCACATATCAAATCTTGCATTTAATTCATTTGATGTTAAAGAATTTGATAAATTATTACTATTCATTGCATTTTGAGTTGTTGTTGAAGCTATTGTTGTTGTTGATGCATTTGAATTTGTTGTTGCCATTGTTTGTGATGATAAAAGTAAATTATTTGATGATTGTAATAATGAATTTGGTAATGATAATGATAATTGTGATTGTGATTGTTGATTTTGTTGTACTTGAGGAATAATAGCTAATGATGGTGTAGGTGTTATTGCTGTTGATGATGTATTCATTAATGGTGAAACTGTTGATTGATTTGAATTCATTGCTACAAGTGATGTTGTTGATTGAAGTACATTTGTTGTTACATTAACATCGGAAACTGTTGGAATAGTTTTTGTTTCTTCTTGTGTATCCCACATTGATGAACGATCAACAAGCCATGATAAATCACCCGTAGAATTACATAAAAGATTTGCCTAGTTAAGATTAAAAGAAAAACAATAGAAGAAGAAATAAGTAAAATATTATTTTAAAGAATCATTCTCAGTTTCCCTACATTCATCCTTTACCTAATAGAGAATTTCATGAAACATTATTGGATAATAAAATAATATGATACATCAAGAATTCAGACACATTTTTGCTCAAATTATTGATACAACAATAAAACTATGTCAATCAATTATTCATTGTTTAGTCTTTCTCTGTTCAAAAATTCGACTCGAACGTTTGAAGTATTGCTGAGTAATGACGTAAATATTTTGCCAAATGAGCATGGAAATCATGTAGTTATGTTACTTCTTCTGTTCACTGTTTGACTAATATCTCGAAAAAAGGAAAAAACGCAACGTAGGTCTATGATTGATTTTGAAAGCTTCTACCATTTTTTTTAAAATCAATCTTTAAGAGATTTTTATTAGAGAAAGTATTCTTCTTAGAGTTATTTTTTTCTTTTGTCTCGTAGTGACGTTTTAGAGCACCAAAACTTGTTTTCTATTAATCAAATATTTTTTAATATGACTCCAAGGAAAACCACAGCTGAATATTTTCGAGAAAGAACAACTTTGAAATATCTGTAAGCCGATTCAGTTTTAAAAACGGTGTTTAAACGAAACTCAAGTCGTCTTATTTAACGAAGGCCACTTCTAAAAAAATCAAGAATACTTCAACCGTTCGGGCTGAAATTTTTATCAGAGCAGTTTTTAGTTGGACATTTGTCAGTATAGGAGAATTTCTAAAAACTACTCTTTCATGCATGAATCATTCATTTGTGGCATCAACATGAATATGAATAATTGAAGCGAAAGTGGATCCTGATTCTTGAGAAATGGCTTTATTTTGTTATCAAAATATTTCTAATGAAATTCTGCATTAAGTAAAGCATGAGTATAGGAAAACTTAGGATTGTTCATATTCTTTAAATAGTACTTTTTCTTGAAGAGTTAATGATGGTGTTATTTTTTCAATAACAGTTGGTACAGCTGCATCTAATACATCGATTAAACAAACTTGATTGGGCTAAATTAAAACAATAAAGAATTTATTGATAAGAATTAAGTCAATTAATTTTATTTACTTGTAAACATTTTGATGCAACTGCAATATTTTTCACTTCACGTAATATCATAACACTATATTTTCGTCGACTATGATGTGTTTGACAAAGTGCAATAATTCCAAAACCTTCTGCCATAGCTAATGTTTCCATATCTGTTTGTTGTGATAAATTCGATCGATTATTTACTCCAAGATTTTGCTAGAAAATTTAAAATAATTTTCAATAAAAATAGAAATAGAAACAAAAAGAAGACATCATTTTATAAACTTACTTTATTTGTTGAACTAACAAGAACATGTTTCCATTGTTGTAATAATTGTAATAAAAAACGCATGGAACGATCAAGTGTTGCTTTACCCGTATCAGATAAAAACATCAATTGATCAGTTACTTCACGAATAATAAAATTTGTAAAACCACGAAAAACACTTTTTCGCCATTCAGGTAATTCAATAACAAAATATTGAAGAGATTGAAATGCTTGAACAGCTAATTCATGATCCATATGTATTGTTAATCTTGCAAGCATTTCAATTAATTCTTCTTGTGATGTACCTAATGGTAATAGACGTGGTAATGCTGCTATACATGTTCTTAAAAGATCTATTTTTGGTTTACGATCGCCACTAAAAACAAAAAAATTAATTTTTCTTTTCTTCCAATGTTCATTTTTTACCTTAATAAATCATCAGTATCTTTATTTGCATTATCCGGTCGTGTTACTAATAAACATCTACCAACTTGTGTATCAAGCATTTTAAGAATTGTATCAAATGTTTTACGAATTGGTTCATAATAATTTTGTAAACCAATTTCTTTTACTATTGAATCACTTATCATTTTTGTGCATATACGTCGTGGACGTAATGTATGTCCCGATGGAAATGTAACTAAATAGATTGAATTAAATCAAAACAAAAAAAAAACTGTTAGCGCAATCCCTGCAGTATTAAAATGTGAAACACGATGTAACTCTTATTAGCTACTACTAATTACGAGAATATTGTTTTATTCGATCTATTTTTTCATCATCTTTTACTTAATCCTCTAGGGCTGTAAAAAAGAAAGCCGTTCATATATTCTCATGAGATGTTAATAATATATGATCGCTAATCATGTACCAAAAATGTCTGCTACGGTCTGTGAGTGAAGAGAGGGTGCGAATTTCTACTTCTATACACTTCAATACTTTTTTTAGATCGTGTTTTACACAAACTAGAACATTTTACTTTACCATTGTGTAGAGGCATCATTGGTTCTTCTTCATTTTGAGCTAAACTATCAGCTATAACTAAAAATGCTCGTAAACCAACATTCATTCGCTATGAAAAACAAAATTATAGAAGTGTTTTGTTAAAAAATTATTATTTACTTCAGGCATTAAATTTCGACATCGACCAACACTAAGCAAATCAAATATAATATCTTTCATAGCAAAATCTAATTTTTCCTTAATTATAGAAAATAAATTTACGTCAAATAGATGATACAAAAATAAAATATTACTTGTGAGATAAAATGAATAATTTTAACAAATATATTTAATGGAATATCTTTTGGTGTTAATGCTTTAAAACTTTTTGGAAATAAACTATTAACAATACATGTTAAATGTTGATTTGTTGTTTTGACATTTTCACCTTTAAATCGAACCATATAAACCCTTTAAATTAATAAAATGAAATTAAAACAAAAAATTATTCAAACAAACAGCTTTTTTTTACCAAATAAGACGATATAATGATTCTAATGATATACGAGCTAATTTCGCTTCACCACGTAAATTACCCAAACAAAGTAACATAAATTTATTCCAATGTGTAAAAAATACTTGTCGTTGACTAATACATAATAAACAGGTCATCAGAGGAAACATAACCTAAAAGATTCAATGTTATTTATGAATTACATAGAAATAAAATTCTTACTAATCGATGTTTATTTTTTGAACATAAATCGAAAACATGTGAATATAATAAATCAACAAAATTGCGTACAATTGGAATATTTACTTCAAGTTTAACAACCTAGATAGAATACAAAAACAAAGAAAATTAAATCGCAAAAATTAAATTCTTATTTAATTTACTGCAGCAACAGGTAGTAAAATTTCGACAAATAAATTTGCTAATGAATTTTTAATATCACGTTCACGTACTTCAAGAAAATAATTTGCTAAATCAAGAAGAAATTGAAAACAAGCTTCAAAATCTTCAACTGGCGTCATCTAAAAAATAATATAGACTAAAATATCATGATTTAAATAATTTTACTTTAACACGAAAAAATCTCATGCCAGTATTGAGATTTATAATGTTTGCATTAACTGACGGACTAGCAGGTTCTTTTCGTAAACTATTTAATTCAAGCATAAAACGTCGTTTAATTGATAAAAAACTACAAAACAAAATGTTTTTTTTTAATTCAAGGATGAAAAAAAAAAGTTTCTTTTCTGTTGGCACAACATACCGGCTTTGAGCTAATACACCAACAACTTCAGCATAAAGATCACAAATTGTTTGATAATTAATTTGATTTGGTTGAGTCGATGTCCTGAAATTTCAAGAATATATTTCTAAAAATATTCTCTCAGATTTATTTTTTCTCACATGTCATTAAATTTTTCGTTGCAGCGAAACCATTTAAAAGCTTGATCTTCAATATTAGATATATCAAATCCAGGATGAAATGAAAGCTAAATATGAAAATATGATATATATATATATTTTGTTCATTTTCATTATTAATATTTACTTGTTTAAGAACATCAATTAAAATGAGACAAAATATGAAATGTACAGTAAGCTAAAATAAAATAAAAATATTTCTTTGTAAATTAAAAGATTTGTTTTTTCGCTCGTTTACTTGTCGACGTTCTTCAAACCAATCATTATCTCTATATTGATAAAATACAAATGAGTATATATGTATACAATAGAAAATTGTTTTTGTTCTTACTTGACTCCAAATGTTGTTGTTGTCGATTTTGTTCCACGTAATTTTAACTGATCTTCATTAATATGATAACGAAACCATTCAAATGCAATACGAACAAGTGACGGAAGTGAGTGTTCAGATATTGCTTGAAATACATCAAGTAATTGATCAAAATGAACATCATCGCCACGTCTCAAACATTGATTGAGTGGTAAATGCTATTAACTCATTTCATTTATATAAATATAGACAAAGAAAAATAAAATTTACCTGTTTATTTTCAGAACATACATCAGCAATACGTATTTCAGCAGCTATAAAAAATTGATTTAAGAGTACATGAAGTGTATATTCTCCTGGTTTTATTGTTGGATCAAGAGATGATGTTGGCTCAACAGTAAATGTTGAACGTATGTGCCTTTCAGCACCCCAAGGAAGACGTCGGACAGTGTCAGACATCAAAAATAAAGAATTTTGTCAAACATGCATGCATATGTAAATAATGATAAATTTTTATGAGTCATGAATTGTTTTGTTATTGGTACAAAGAAATAAACCAATAAGATAGAAAATTGAAAAATACAAAATTGAAACATTTGAACGTGTTTTTATTATTTACAGAAAATAAATAATGTATCAGGCACAATTTTAATAAAGAAAACTTTATCTCAATCTTTAATCGAATCACTCAATGGTATCAAAACAAACAATGTCATGATTGTATTTTACACGCTTTGAGGATGCTGTTTCTTTTGTAAACAATGAAGTTTCTTGAAATTCGAAACAATATGCTTATTCATACGTTTGTGAAAACTCAACTTGTACATTGAAAAAGCACATTTGTCATTTGAAACTTTCGTAGTGTTCTGTAATAGTATCATAATATTTTTCAGGTTTGAATCTATCTTTTTCGTTGTCGCTGTTGATTTTTTGGTGCTGGCATGTTGATATTCAAAAGAAACAAAGACATGTAAAGTATCATGAGAGGCTATTGTAGTTCAGTTATGAGTTGAATCAGAACTTGAATACATTTATGTTTTTTTTTCGCCCTTAAGCGGCTAATATTATACATATGTCAAGCAAAATGACTCAAAAATAGTAATTAATATATTAGTGAATTACTAGTTCTATGGTATCTCGATTTGAAAAATGTTATTTATTTGCCATATATTATTATTTTTGATAAGTAGACGAATGTATGGTTTTCATTTTCTCCTAGATATGTTTTTTGGTCTTGTTTTTGAAAAGAATATATAGTTCTTTTTCAAACAAATACTCAAAAATGATGTATGTGGATTAACAATAATGAAAAGAAAAAATTTGAGTTTATATTTTTAACCATTATTATTCCAAGTATATATTCTGAATTTTGTTCTACTTACTTTGAAACATAATTTTTTAAAGGAGATTAATATATTCAAGGTCACTCTATAAGTGCGCAAAACCGTATAATTAACTAAATCACTCCCCACAATAGAGAGAACGCCTCACGCTCTTCTATTGCAGAAAGGAATTAAGTAAAACTTCTCTAGTACATTTGTTAGGATAAAAAATGTCAATATTATTTATATTATTTGAATATTGCAAACAACAGTGTTCATACATCTCTCTCTGAACGAGTTTTGTTTGAAGTATGTGACCTGATTTTTGTTTTATGTTCTTATTTTTTACACGTACTTCACTTCAGATAAGGTTTTTATTTCTCATGGAGTATGCTTACCTTCTATTTACTTCCTACCATAATATTTATTAAATGGCAATAAATAATGTCTCAGGTGTGTTAATAAAAGAAAAGAAAAGAAAAAAACAAATGAATGAAAATGTTTTTTGTAGAAGTTACACGTAATTAAAATTAGACGCCTCAGTTGGAATTGTTACTGTGTTAGATTTACTTCTGCGGGAACACTGGGAAGTATCTTTCTCTAGGGAAAATTCTTGATGTTTCCGTGCTAGATCCTTAAAGAATCCGGTCAGGATCCTTCAAGGATTTGCTATTTTTTCCTGAGGAAACGACTAAATCCTGAAGAAAGCGTGTAGCCACTAAAGTTCAAGATCCTGACATGATTAAAAACAGGATTTAATCAGGATTCTGAACAGATTATCATTGTTTTTGAATCAGGAATCGACCAGGAAACTGTTAATTCTTGAAAAAAGCGTGTGTCACGGAATTCCAAGATCCTAACAGGATTCGATCAGGATCTTTAGTAGTTAACAACTATTTTTTGAACCGAGAATCATTCTGGAAGCAATATTTGGTGCTGGGTATGAATGCAGGATCATCTAATGTTGCCTAACACTTTCAGCCAGTGGTTCATCCTCCTGTTAAATTCTTGCTGTGATCCTCCTCAGATTCAGCTGCAATTCATCGAATCCTTGCACCAGAATTCTGATTATATTCTGTCTGAACCTTGATAAATCTTGAGAGAATCCTCTCTGTTGTTTCTGTCAGGATCCTAAACAGGGTCATGATTAAATTCTGAGAGAATCCTGCATTCATCATTTAGAGAAAAATCTGAGTAGGAGCCTGAAGAAATACTGGACAGGATTCTGTATCACCGTAAAAAATCCTGAAAACAGAAATTATCAGGAATTGAGGCAGGATTCTGAAGAAAACTTGGCAAGATCCTTGAGATTCAGGATCCTGATGAATCCTTTCGGGATTTCTCAAGGAATGAACAGGGTTGAGACTAGGGTCAACCCTTTCCTTCACCAAAAGAATCAAACTCAAAGTTTTGAAAATCTGATTTCAGATTCGGATTCTCCGACCTGGATAATCTCTGTCAAAATTTCATCAAAAGACCGGAAATCCTAAAACTAAGCTAACCGCTCATATGTTTTTTTGACCTGCCACAAGCAGACAGACAGACAGACAAACGCATCTAGATATATAATATGTCAATATTGAGCCACTCTTGAAAATAAAAATACATCAGATTTTTTCAATTTATTTTAATTTGAGAGTTGTAAAAATTGTTGACAATAACAATAACCAATAAATATAGTTTATTACTTTAAAATCAAATAAATCAATTTGTTAATATTGATATGGAAAAAATGTTATCTAATCAGATTTTAATATGACTTTTCTCATAAATTTATTGTTGAAATGTTTGATTAATAATAGGTGAACAATGTAGTAACCATTTTCGAATTATTTATCCTTATCAAATAGATATTCAATGAATCCATATAGACATATTCATTTGATTAATGAACATTTTTCAACATATTCTTCTCTTTATCTTTGTTCATTCTATTTTAGATATTCAATTATTTAAATGAAAATTTTCAAATAGTTTTATTATTAAATGAATATAAATAAAAGTTCAATCTGTAATAGTCCACTGTCTATCACGAAAATCAGATAATAAATCATTTGATTTTTCTTCTAATAAATCTCTTTAAAATTTTTCTCATTGATGAGCTTATTTAAGTTTAATATTCAATTGAATTTGTTCATCTAATGGACGACGTTGAACAACAACCGATATAATATAATTAACAGTTAATTATGACAATGAAACTATTGATCGAGTTATTATTAAAAGGTCATCTCCATTGAAGACATAGGGAATTTTTCAAATTTTTTTTTTATTCAAATAAACAATATGAAATCTGCGTTTTTTTCCTATTTATATCAAAGTTTTAATAAATAAAAAACGAAGTTGTGTATCATTATGTAATTCAATAAGATATTATGTATTCAAGTGAATATATCCTTTTATTATATGAATATAAGTCGAACATTGATTTTTATTTCATTTTATCATTTTCTACTCCTTAGAGATTGTCTAGACTTTATTAAATTAGTCATTTTATTTTATTTTTTTCAATCATTTATCTTATATATATATAGAGAGAGAGATTTCAAAATAACGGACATTAGTATAAAATGAGTCATATATCATAGAAAAAGATAGATTCTGTCTTGATCAATATACCATCACTAGGCTCTATAAGGCAACGGGCAAATATAGTAACCAGGGTCTCACTGTGGATTTTGCGGTGTGCTGACGGCACAAGAGATGAATACGGAAATCCTCGAGAATTCTTTTGAAACCTAGGGAATCAAAAAAAAATCTTGCACTTTTACTTTCTCATTTCCTAAAAATAAGTCAATTTTCGTTGAAAATAATAAAATATAGATGAATGCATGAGAAGTTAGTCCGCTATTTGCTCTTTCATAAATCATATCACTTCTCATTTGGCACCTTGCTTTTTCCAGCAACAATCAAAAAAATCTTTTTTCGCTTTTTCTCACGTTTAGGATTTTACGCTTTTTTGATCATGCATAGAAGAACTCTCGAAGGAGTTTCATTGAAATCAATCATTTTTTTTTCTTGGAAATAGCAGATCAACATGCAGAACATGATATGCCTTCGTTTATGAATTAACCAGACAATATTTATCTATTTTAATCTATATTTAATAGTATAATTAGGAAACAAAGAACAAAATAGAATATAGAAAATTAATATATGAAAACAAAACAAAAAACTCTTGAAAAATAAAAGATTTTTAAAATCTCTCGATTATAATAGGAGAATTAACGATAATACTACTGATACTTGGAGAGAATTTCATGCATATAGAAAGAGTAAAAAGAAAAAAATCTTCAATCTAACGTTCTTAAATAAGAAGATTTGAATTTGAAAATAAACATCGTTACAGTAAACCATATTACAAACAAACACTTAATTATTTCAATAAATATTCACACGAGTGAGCGATCTCACCGTTACTTGAATGAGATAATCTATACGTACATCGAATGAGAATTTATCAACAGTTATCGAACAAAGCAAAATTTAAGAAAAAAAATCATTCAAACATTTCTCAATAGTCTTTCACTAATTAGATGATCATTTCTATAAAAGCATGTCAAATATTACTGATTAATTAAGAAAATCATTAATGCGACTACATATTTCGAGCTCTCTTTTAAGAAATTTTTCTCAATTTCTTGACAGATTAACGAACAAACAGGTTCACTTGCTATGATTAGAGTGAACGATTAGGCAACACTAAGAAGCGCAACTCAACTAAATTAAGAATCGATCTGAAAGATATGAAATCTAAGAGAATTCGGTCAAATTCTGGCGAATTTCATTCCTTGTGACAATGCCAGATAGTATATGTCTGGAGTGCTTGTATGGCTGTGGTCATGCCTGTGAGTATAAGTGTAGGTATTGTTTCTGATTGTTGATGTGAATGGAGGTGTAATCCAATAGTTTGATCGACAATCGTGCCTGGATAATTTCAATTATTTCTTGTTTTTTATTGACGGCAGATGAAATATCTCGATAACCTTTTGAAAAAGTTTGTTAGTTTCGAAAAATTTTCTAATAGAAAACGAGAAAAACGATAATAGAGAACGTTATTATAATAAATTCAGTAGAAAAAGAGAATCCTTCAAAGTAATTCCGGCTGTTCAAACAATTTCAAAACCTCGTATGGAT